GTATGGGAGGGTTATAGGGGATACGGGGGCCACAGGGGATGGGGGATCCAGGGCATTTCCCACCCCAGGCCGGTTTCTGCAGAGCCCAGCAGGGAGCGCAGCTGGAGCACAGCTGGGCTGGGCTCGAGGCTGTCGGGAGAGGTCCGGAGCACCTGAGTCCTGGTGCAACCTTCAGTGGATTTCCCCCTCCCAGAGGCCCCCAAATTCACCTGGGCACCCCCTGAGCTGGCTCCTCCCGGTGAACTCCCAGCGGGGTCGTGGATCAACCACTCCTGGCTCTGCCAGGACAGGGCTGGGTTTTGCAGCAGCTGGGACGGGCTTGGCTGGGACCAGGGCTGGTTCTGTCCCACCTCAACCATGGGGGGATTCTCTTCCAGGCACGAGAGGCTCCTACCTTCGAGTGAATGGGATGAGGGAACCGTCTGGAGTTTGTTTATTGTCGGGGATGTTTGTCTGTGGGAATAATTTCTTTTCTTAGACCTTCGGTTATTAATATTGGTGCTGTTCCTGCTCCTTCTCTTATCTCGTTGCTGTTTCCAGTAAATTGTTCTTATCTCCCCCTGGGATCTTCGCCTTTTGTGCCTCCAGCTGGAGGGGGAACAGTGTCCGGAGTCTCTAAACTGGGGACCTAAACCAGCGTCACAAACCTGCCAGGGAAGCGAGGCACCAGTGCATGGCTGGGGATGGAGCCTGAGCCTCCCAGCACCGGGAGGAGGCACCAGTGCATGGCTGGGGATGGAGCCTGAGCCTCCCAGGGTGGGAGGAGGCACCAGTGCATGGCTGGGGATGGAGCCTGAGCCTCCCAGCACCGCCTGCAGCACCACCCTGGGCCTTGGGGAACGGGTCCCACGGTGATGTGGCAGCGCTGCAAGGACCGAGTGCGACACGTGGGACTCATTTCAAGAATGGCCTCAGGGACACCCGGGCCAGAGAGCTCAGGATGGGCTGGGGGTGTCACGTTCTCTGTCAGGCACCAGCCCTGGGAATCTGCAGTGGGCTGTTAAAAACCGCACTCAAGGCAGGGGTGGTGGAACCTTCAACCCCTGGGATCCCCTGGTGGGAGAACAGCCGAGTGTGACCCTGCCCTGCCCAGCCCGGGGTGCTGTAGGAGGGAACGAGGAACGTGTCAGGAAGAGTTTGGATCAGCCCTGCCTCAAGCAAAGCAAACCCATCCCTCGATTGTTTCTGCTCATGGACCTGGCTGCTCCTGGCAGGAGGTGCAGAGGACAGGGAGACACAAATGTCCCTCAAGGGGCTTTGACTTTGGGGTGAGGAGTCTGGAATGTGGAGCTCTGGTTGTGGATGGATGGTGCTGGGAGCTCTGGATGCAGCCCCAGTGTCCTGGGACAGATCCAGGGTGGAAACATCGACAGCCAGGACTGACCGACCCCACAGACACCGGGAACAGCCAGGGGTGAAACTCCTGCGTGTGTGGGTACAGCTGGAACGTGACGGGGGGTGTGGGATAAAGGATGAGTGGAAGGTGTGGGATTAGGAATCAGTGGAAGGTGTGGGATAAAGGATGAGTGGAAGGTGTGGGATTAGGAATGAGTGGAAGGTGTGGGATAAGGAATGAGTGGAAGGTGTGGGATAAAGGATGAGTGGAAGGTGTGGGATAAGGAATGAGTGGAAGGTGTGGGATTAGGAATGAGTGGAAGGTGTGGGATAAGGAATGAGTGGAAGGTGTGGGATTAGGAATGAGTGGAAGGTGTGGGATTAGGAATGAGTGGAGGGTGTGTAGTAAGAGGTGGGGAATGCCCGAATTGTGGCCAGGACAGGGTTAATTTCTGCTGTGAGAGCAGGGCCAGGACCTGGGGTCCTCCTGAACCGTTTGGTACCAACGCTGCTGCTCCTGTTTCTGATCTCGTTGCTGCTTCCAGTAAATTCTTCTTCCCTCCACCACCACCGCTGCCTTCTGTGCCCCAGCTGGGTCAGGGGGCACCGAATTTGGGACATCCCAGAGTTACTGACCAATGAAAGGGAAATGAAAGGATCACAGCCCCCCGTGTCCTCCACCCTCACCTTTTCCAGGTGAAATCCAAGTGAGGATTCCCCCTCCTCCAGGCTGTCCCAGCAGGGGCACGGGGGGTTTGGGGTGATTTGTGGATGAATTTAAGGTGATTTGTGGGTGATATTGAGGTAATTTTGGGTGGTGATGGGGTAATTTGGGGGAAGATTCAGAGATACTTCAAGTGATTTTGGGCCCATCTTGGGGTGATTTGGCAGATTCTTGGAGGTGATTTTGGGGTAGTTTGGGGTGATTTTGGGGATTACTTGGGGGTGGTTTTGAGTGATTTTTGTGTGGTCTTGGGGATGATTTTGGGGAGATGTTTGGGGTGATTCTGGAGATGTTACTCAGTCCTGGGGAAATTCTGGTGCTGACCCCCTGCACTGGCCAGATTGTCACGATTGTCACCTGAGCCAGGACCTGCCTCACCTGGATCCCACCCTGGCTTTATTTAAATCAAATCCTCGCTTTAGATTGTCTTTTTTCCTGTTTTTTTGCCTGAAACACCTCATAGGCTGAGTCTGGTATTACCTGGAGCATCCAAGTCTTGAGGGATCTGGGATTGACCTCCCACACCTGGGCAGATCCCTCACCTGGACACCTGCCCAGAGCCGCTTCAATCACTTCACATATTCAGCAGAAATAGCGAAATCTTTGCTTTTCTCCCCAAAACACGCAGCAATGTCCCCTCACCCTCCCTCCCCCCGAGTTACTCCTTTATCCTCCAATTTTCCATAATTAAATCTGGATATGAAATTCTTGATGACCTTAAAAGATCACTTCACACCTGCACACACCTGTCCCAGGTGAGTGAACACCTGGTGCCTCAGAGCTCCAGCAATGGAGCATCCTGTCCATGCCAGGAGTCACCTGTGGCAGGGGCTGCCAGGTAACCACACCTGGGGGCTCTCCAGAGGGTCTCCAGGTGTTCCCTGCGAGGAGGGCGGCCAGGTAACAACACCTGGGGCTTCCCAGATCTCTGCTTGTGTCCTTGTGCTGGGAGCGGAGGGTGTCCAGGTATGCTGAGAGCTGCAGGTACTCCTCACCTGGCCCTCACCTGGCCCCCTATTTCAGGATGATGTGGTAGCTGTCGTTGCTTTCGGCTGCAAAGGAAGCCAAGGTCACTCCACAAGAGGTGAGGGGAGGTGAGGTGGGGTCACCTGACACAGGTGTGGCCCAAACACAGAGCCCCAGGTACTCACACACCTTTCATGGTGTCCAGAACGAAGCAGGATTCATCCTGGAAGTTCTGGATCATCTGAAAAAAACCCCCAAACAACAGCAATTCAGGGGTTTTTGGGAAGGGTTTGGGTTCCAAAGGGCTGGAGATGCCCAGGTGATCCCTGCTGATCCCATTTCCCCAGGTGAGCCTCCCAGGGGGGCAGGTGGGCGTTACCTCGTCGCTGACCAGGACGTGGATCCCGGTGGGTCCCTGTTTGTAGATCTGCTGGATCTGCTGGGCGGGGACGCGGAAAAGCTGCGCCAGCTTCTCCGTCAGCTCGGCTGCCGTCAGCTCCTCCAGGTACACGGCGTGGTAAACTGCAGGTGAGAGAGAGAGCAGCCCCACACCTGCCCAGGTGTGCCCCCACAGCCGCTCAGGGCCAGGCTCAGCTCTGGCACCTGCTGGGATTTTCACATCCAGCCCCAAAAACCTTCCAGTGGCACCTGAGCCTGGACTAGTCCAGGTGGGTTTTACCCCCAGCAGGACGGGAATGAACCCCAGCCCCTCCCCAGCCCCTCCCCAGGTACTGGGAGAGGCACCAGGATTCTCACAGGTGCTCCCAGTTGTGGCACAGGTGAGATGTCAACACCTGTGTGGTGGCACCGAGGGAGGGAAATCCACTGGGGTTGGGGCAGGACCCCCAGGTGTACAGAGGGCTCAGGTGAGCTCTGTGCTCACAGGTGGGGACACAGGCAAGAGCACATGTGAGATGTGAGGAGGGGTCAGCTGAGGGCACAGCTGAGGGCACAGCTGAGGGCACAGGTGATGGATCAGGTGAGGGCACAGGTGATGGATCAGGTGATCTCAGGAGGGAGTGAGGGATGGGGCCATCGGGTGCTCTGCTGCAAACAGCTGCCAGCGCATCCTCATTTCCTGAGCCCCCAGGGATGATCCCAGATTCCCCAGGTGTGATCCCAGGTTCCCCAGGGGTGATCCCAGGCTCCCCAGGGGTGATCCCAGATTCCCCAGGTGTGATCCCAGATTCCCAGGGGTGATCCCAGATTCCCAGGGGTGATCCCAGGTTCCCCAGGTGTGATCCCAGGTTCCCAGGGGTGATCCCAGGTTCCCAATCCCCCTCACCAAAGAAGGTGCCGGTGCTGCTGTCGCCGTCCTCGTGCTCGTGCTGGGGGTCCCGGCCGTGCTGGGACTCCTGGCACACGTAGATGGTCAGGCGGGGCCGCACCATCCTGGGACAGGTGAGGGTCACCTGGGGCTCCCACCCTGCCAGGTGTTCTCAGGAGGAGCTGGACAAGCTCACCCCAGAGGAAAACCCTCGTGCTTGTCCCCAGCTGGCTGATCCCAAGGTGTCCCCTCAGGGGTTGGTGACCCTGGCTCAGCATTCCCGGTGCCATGGGGCAGGAATTCCCACCTGGAATGCTCCTGGAGCCCCTCCCCCGTCCCAGACATTCCCACCTGGACACTCCGTCCCTCTCAGCCTTCCAAAATGCTCCAGGTGTGTTAAACCCCTGGGGCAAATCCCTGCTTTTTAGGGGAAGCTGTGAGAAACATCCCCCTTCTGGGAACCTTCTGGGCAGGTGACTCCACCTGTGTGGGTCACAGGAGGAGACAGCTCCTGAATCAACAGCAATTCCTGGCCTGTGCCTCCACTCCTGGGCTCTCAAAGTAAAACAATTCCTAATTCCTCTCTCCCACCTGGATTTCCTTCTCCAGAATTCCTCTACGTTCCTGACTCACATGGGAAAAGGCTGGGCCAGGTGAGTCCTGGCACCCCCAGGTGAGTCCCAGACCCCCAGGTGAGTCCCATCCCCCCCCCAGATGAGTCCNGAGTCCCAAACCTCTCCCAGGTGAGTCCAAATCCCCCCAGGTGAGTCCCAAACCCCTCCCAGGTGAGTCCCAGCCTCTCCAGGTGAGTCCCAAACCCCTCAGGTGAGTCCTAAACCTCCCCAGGTGAGTCCCAGCTTCCCCAGGTGAGTCCCAAACCCCTCCAGGTGAGTCCTAAACCCCCCCAGGTGAGTCCTAAACCCCCCCAGGTGAGTCCCAGCCCCCCCAGGTGAGTCCTAAACCCCTCCAGGTGAGTCCCCATCCCGTACCTGCCCTTGAGGGTGTTGAAGAGCCGGATGCCGTCGGCGGGGCCGCAGATCTGGATCACGTCCTCCCGCGTCAGCTTCAGCAGATCTGCTCCTGCAAACCCCCAAAGGCCCAAATTCACCCCAAATTCTCCTCTGTTTGTCCAAAATTGGTATTTTTCACCTGGTTTTCCTCAAAATCAGCCTTTTCCAGCTTGGCTTTCCCCAAATCAGATTTTTTTTGGCTTTGTTTTCTACAAACCAGCATTTTTTCTACTTAATTTTTCTTAAAATCAGCATTTCCCACCTTTGTTTTCTCTAAATTCCTATTTTCCAGCTCAGTTTTCCCAAAAATCATCATTTTTTACCCTTCTCCCCCCAAAATCATTATTTTTCAGCTTCATTTTTCTCTCAAATCAGCAATTTTCAGCCTGATTTCCTCCAAATTCAACATTTTCCACCTGTTTTTCCCCACACCAGCATTTTTCAGCTTGGTTATCCCAAACCTGGCATTTTCCAGCTTTGTTTTCCCCCAAATCAGCAATTTTTTGCTTTATTTTTCCCCCAACTTGGCATTTTCCAGCTCAGTCTTCCCCCAAACTTCCCTTTTTCAAGTTTGCTTTACCAAAATCAGCATTTTTTGTCTCTGTTTTCCACAAGATCAGGTTTTCACTTTCATTTTGCCCATTTGCCATTTTTCACCTGTATTTTCCCCAAAATCAGCATTTTTCACTTTTTGCTTCCTCCCAAAACTGCCATTTTCTAATTTCATTTTCCTTAAGATCAGCATTTTTCACCTCATTTTTTGCCTGAATTCAAGATTTTCCACCTCTGTTTTCTCCAAAATTGGCATTTTCAGCTGTTTTTCCCCAAAATCATCTTTTTCTCCCCAGTCCCCATTTTTCAGCTCCATTGTCCCCATCCATTTTCACCTCCTTTTCCCAAAACTACTGTTTTCCAGTTTCCCCAAAATCAGCCCCTCTTGTGTTACCTGGGCCAGGTGAGCTGGGGGAGGAGGAGCCAGGTTAGATTGGGTTAGAAAAACTGGGATTTGGGAAATCTCACCTGGCTCAGGTGAGGGTCATGGATTACCTGGCCCAGGTGAGGGTCAGAGGTGACCTGGCCCAGGTGAGGGAGGTGACCTGGCCCAGGTGAGGGTCATGGATGACCTGGCCCAGGTGAGGGAGGTGACCTGGCCCAGGTGAGGGTCATGGATTACCTGGCCCAGGTGAGGGTCAGAGGTGACCTGGCCCAGGTGAGGGAAGGTGACCTGGCCCAGGTGAGGGTCAGAGGTGACCTGGCCCAGGTGAGGGTCAGAGGTGACCTGGCCCAGGTGAGGGAGGTGACCTGGCCCAGGTGAGGGTCATGGATGACCTGGCCCAGGTGAGGGGCAGGACTCACCTGAGAAGTTCCTGAAGAGCCGGGAGAAGGTGGAGAAGCGGTTGCGGTGCAGCCACTGCTGCGCCTCCTGCGGGGTCCAGGTGGGCAGCAGCGTCTGGGGGGACACGGGGGGACACAGGTGCTGCCAGGTGACCTGGACAGGTGCTCACACTTGGGCAGGGGCACAGGTGAGCTCAGGGTGGCTCAGCACAGGTGTGAAATGAGGCCCTGAGCAGGTGGGCTGAGGTGGTGAGCTCAGAGGTGAGCTGGAAATGCTCCCAGATGAGTGAAGTGCTGCCACTGAGACCAGGTGAGCTCAGGTGTGAATCCCCCCCGGGTGGGGCCCCCCAGGTGTGTGCAGGAGACCCCAGGTGTGTGCAGGTGACCCCAGGTGTTCCCTTGGAGCCCCCCAGGTGTGTGCAGGTGACCCCAGGTGTGTGCAGGTGACCCCAGGTGTTCCCTTGGAGCCCCCCAGGTGTGTGCAGGTGACCCCAGGTGTTCCCTTGGAGCCCCCCAGGTGTGTGCAGGTGACCCCAGGTGTGTGCAGGTGACCCCAGGTGTACCTGGACAGGTACTTACGTCAGCCAGGGGCACGGGGGGGTCGGGCTGGTGGCTTGGGGATCCACTGCTGGGGACAGAGAGACACGGGTCACTGGGACACTGGGACAGTGGAACTGGCACTGGATGGCACTGGGGTGGCACTGGGCTCACTGGGGTGGCACTGGGGTCACTGGGGTGGCACTGGGGTGGCACTGGGATCCCTGGGATGGCAATGGGGTGGCAATGGGTGACACTGGGTGGCACTGGGGTGACACTGGGATGACACTGTGGTGACACTGGGGTGACACTGGGGTGGCACTGGGGTCACTGGGGTGGCACTGGATGGCACTGGGGTGGCACTGGGATCCCTGGGATGGCAATGGCGTGGCACTGGGGTCACTGGGATGACACTGTGGTGACACTGGGGTGGCACTGGGGTCACTGGGATGGCACTGGGTGACACTGGGGTGACACTGGGGTGGCACTGTGTGACACTGGGGTGACACTGGGTGACACTGGTGACACTGGTGACACTGGGGTGACACTGGGTGACACTGGGTGACACTGGTGACACTGTGGTGACACTGTGTGACACTGTGTGACACTGGTGACACTGGGGTGACACTGGGTGACACTGGTGACACTGGGTGACACTGGTGACACGGGGGTGACACTGGTGACACTGGTGACACTGGTGACANCCTGAACTGCACACACCTGCATTGCACACACCTGTACACACCTGCGCACACCTACACACACCTACACACCTGAACTGCACACACCTACACACACCTGCACTGCACACACCTGCACTGCACACACCTGAACTGCACACACCTGCATTGCACACACCTGTACACACCTGCGCACACCTACACACACCTACACACCTGAACTGCACACACCTGAACTGCACACACACACACCTGCACTGCACACACCTACACTGCACACACACACACACACAAACACATACACAGCTGCACTGCACACCGCTGCACTGCACACACACCTGCACACACACACACACACCTGCACACACACACACACACACACACACCTGCACACCGCTGCACTGCACACACCTGGCCAGCTCAGGTGAACAATGTCCCCAGAGCCCTTTTTCAGGCACTGGGGCGCCTCGTGCGCCCCCGGCTGTGTCTGGCAGGTACAAACACCTGGAGCAGAGCTGTCCCAGCAGCCAGGTGAGCTCACCTCCGTCAGGATGGTGGTCTCGTAGGACGGCTGGTACTTCTCCTTCTCGTGGGGTGTGCGCTTCTCCATCTTCTCCCGATCCGTCTTCTGCTTCCGGTCGGCTCCTTTGGGCTGCACAGGGACAGGCACGGACAGGGGTGTGGGAAACACACAGGTGACACAGGTGACACAGGTGAGACAGGTGAGACAGGTGAGACAGCTGTGACACAGGTATCACAGATGAGACAGGTGACACAGGTGACACAGGTAACACAGGTGACACAGGTGTGACAGATGACAAGGTGACACAGGTGACACAGGTAACACAGGTGACAAGGTGACTCAGGTGACAGAAGTGACACAGGTGACACAGGTGACTCAGCCTTCCTGGTGCTTGACAGAGGGAAAAGGAGCAGTTCTGGGAGAAGCTTTTCCTGAGAGCTTCAGCAGGGAAAGGGTGTGTGACAACATTTCATACACCTGTAACACCTGAATACACCTGTAACACCTGAACACACCTGTAACCCCCAACTATACCTGTAAACCCCTGAACACACCTGTAACCCTCTGAATACACCTGTAACCCCTAAATGCACCTGTAACCCCTGAAGACACCTGTAACCCCTGCATACACCTGTAACCCCTGCATACACCTGTAACCCCTGCATACACCTGTAACCCCTGAATACACCTGTAACCCTCTGAAGACACCTGTAACACCTGAATGCACCTGTAACCCCTGAATACACCTGTAACCCTCTGAAGACACCTGTAACACCTGAATACACCTGCAACCCCTGAAGACACCTGTAACCCCTGAATACACCTGTAACCCTCTGAAGACACCTGTAACCCCTGAATACACCTGTAACCCTCTGAATACACCTGCAACCCCTGAAGACACCTGTAACCCCTGAAGACACCTGTAACCCCTGAAGACACCTGTAACACCTGAATACACCTGTAACCCTTGAATACACCCATAACCCTCTGAAGACACCTGTAACCCTCTGAAGACACCTGTAACCCCTGAAGACACCTGTAACCCCTGAATACACCTGTAACCCTCTGAAGACACCTGTAACCCTCTGAAGACACCTGCATCTGCATCACCCACGTAGGGGGTGGGATTCTGGGAGGACAAACTGCACCTGGACACGAGGTTACAGGGTTGGCCTTGACTTTGCCACACCTGGAACACCTGGGTCCCTTCTCTACCCAAAACTGGGGGGATTTCACTCAAATCCCATGGGACGCACAGATGTGGAACCTCCACAGGTAGCCAGGTGTTCCCCCTGGCAGATCCCTGAAGAAGTTTAAACCTGGCTGTACCTGCACTGACAGGTGAAGGGATTTGGCCCAGGTAGACCAGGGGAGGGCCCAGCAGGACCCCAAACCCAACTGACCCCCCACAAGGTGAACAGGTGAGAAAAGAGGAGCCAAGGTGAGATTTTGGGGGTGGGACGGAGTCATGGGCACCCCGAGGTGTGACCACAGCGGGAACGACCCCTCCCAGCCCCTCCCATCACCTGCACCACCAGGTTGGGGCTGGTACTCCTAACAGCAGGAGGTGTCAGAGACACCAGCAGCCCCCAGTACAAACTGGGATGGACTCTCAGGTCAGTCCAGGTGGGAGGGGCCCGCAGGTACCTTGAACACCTTGATCTGGCAGCTGGCAGAGTGCAGGTGCTCCGTGTACTCCCCGCTCTCATTCTCCCTGAAGGTGTCGATCTGCACGCGGAAGGGAACGCCCTTCTCGCCGCCGTGCTTGCGCGGGGTGAACTCCGTGCTGATGCAGTGCACCTGGGGACAGGTGAGTTCCTGGGGGAGTGCCTCCGCCAGCCAGGACAGCCCAGAGCAGAGCCAGGATCCACAGGGCAGCACCTGGGATCACCTGTCCTCACCTGGAGGAGGCACTGCCCACCTGTCCCTCACCTGGATGGGGAGCACTGCCCACCTGTCCCTCACCTGGGTAAGGCAGAGCCCACCTGTGCCTCACCTGGATGAGAGGCACTGCCCACCTGTCCCTCACCTGGGTAAGGCAGAGCCCACCTGTCCCTCACCTGGATGTGAGGCATTGCCCACCTTTCCCTCATCTGGATGAGGCAGAACCCACCTGTCCCTTACCTGGATAAGGCAGAGCCCACCTGTCCCTCACCTGGATAAGGCAGAGCCCACCTGTCCCTCACCTGGATGAGAGGCACTGCCCACCTGTCCCTCACCTGGATGTGAAGCACTGCCCACCTGTCCCTCACCTGGATGTGAGGCATTGCCCACCTGTCCCTCACCTGGATGTGAGGCATTGCCCACCTGTCCCTCACCTGGATGAAGACCGAGGTCCTCTTGGCCGGATCCCACAGGAACTCCACGGTGTTGAGCTGCGTTGGGTTTGCGTGGGGGTCGATGATCCCCACGGACATTGGGATGTCTGTGGGGGGAACAGGTGAGGCTCACCTGGGACTCCCCACCTGCCCCAGCCAGGTGAGACTCACCTATGTCCAGGATCCTGTCACCAGGCCTGTTCCACCTCCAGCCCTCCAGCTGCTGGTGCTCTGTGTACTGCAGCCGCCGGTCATGGAAAACCACCCGGAAGATGCTCTGGGGAAGGGGGAAACATCAGCTGGAGCTGCCTGGCACACCTGGCCAGATGTGCAGCCCTTCCCTGTGCCAAAAAGGGGTGAAGGGAACCCCCCCAACCAGGTGTATCTCTCACCCCTACCTGCCACACCTGGCCAGATGTGCAGCCCTTCCCTGTGCCAAAAAGGGGTGAAGGGACCCCCCCAACCAGGTGTATCTCCCAGCCCTGCCCAGGAGCCAGGGCCCCAGAGAACACCTGGCTGGGATGGGCACACCTGGCCAGGGGTACCTGTGCCCTCTGCTCACCTTCACCAGCTTCCCGTTGATCTCTGGCAGCTCCCCGAGTTTCCTGTTGTCCAACATCCGGATCTCGTAGGATTGACCTGAGGGCAGGAGGGCACCTGAGGGTTTTCTGTCACCTGTACCTGTCACCTGAGCTCCTCATTCATTTGGGGTCCCACCAACCCAGAGCTTCTAGTTGTACCTGGAAGCAGCAGGTACAGCCTGAACTTGTAACTGCCATCCTGCAGAGCCACCCTGCACACACCTGTATGGATACACCCTGCACACACCTGTATGGATACACCCTGCACACACCTGTATGGATACACCCTGTACACACCTGTAACCCCCTGCACACACCTGTAACCCCCTCCAAACACCTGCACGGATACACCCTGCACACACCTGTAACCCCCTGCACACACCTGTACAGGTACACCCTGCACACACCTGTATGGATACACCCTGCACACACCTGTAACCCCCTGCACACACCTGTACAGATACACCCTGCACACACCTGTAACCCCCTGTACACACCTGTACAGATACACCCTGCACACACCTGTAACCCCCTGCACACACCTGTACAGGTACACCCTGCACACACATGTATGGATACACCCTGCACACACCTGTACAGGTACACCCTGCACACACCTGTACAGATACACCCTGTACACACCTGTAACCCCCTGCACACACCTGTACAGATACACTCTGCACACACCTGTAACCACCCTGCACACACCTGTACAGGTACACCTTACACACACCTCTAACCCCCTGCACACACCTGTATGGATACACCCTGCACACACCTGTAACCCCCTGCACACACCTGTATGGATACACCTTACACACACCTGTAATCACCCCACATGCACCTGTACACACACCTTACACACACCTCTAACCCCTGCACACACCTGTACAGATACAGATACACCTTACACACACCTGTACAGACACACCTTACACACCTATACTGATATACCTTACACACACCTGTACAGACACACCTTACACACCTATACTGATATACCTTACACACACCTGTAACCACCCTGCAGACACCTGTACAAGCACACCTTACACACACCTGTACAGACACACACACACACACCCCTACACTGATACACCTTATACACACCTGTATTCACCCTACACACACCTGTCACCACCTTCCAGTACCCACACCTTCACCTGGTGAGACCCCCCAGGTGACTCCAGCTCCACCTGGGCAGAGCACAGCCAGGTGAAGGCACGGCCCCTTCCCACTTCCTATCAGGAACAACCCAGAACCCGGCAATTTTCCCAGGGAAACGACAACTCCCACAGGCAGACTGTTCCTGTTGGGGCGGTTCCTGGCGGTACCTGTGCAGGACAGGTGTGGCCTCACCTTGGTTGAGGTAGGTGAGGGTCTCGTCGTGCAGTTTGACGGCGGGGGAGGTGGCGGCGCACAGGACGTACTGGAACGGCAGCAGCTTGTCCTGGTTCTCCGGAGGCAAACTGGATTCCTCCTGCTTGAAGATGGGCAGAGCCAGGACATCGCTGCGGAGAGGGCAGAGTCACCTGAGACAGGTGAGCTGAGAGCGGGGTCAGGGACTCCTTCAATCCAACCGGGCCTTGGGACCTGGGGGAACAGCCCCCCAGCAACCTGGCTCTGCCTCAGGTACCACCTGCACAGCTGACCCTCAACACCTGTCCTCAGGTACCACCTAACCCTCAACACCTGTCCTCAGGTACCATCTAACCCTCAACACCTGTCCTCAGGTGCCACCAGCACACCTAACCCTCAACACCTGTCCTCAGGTACCACCCACTCACCTAACCCTCAACACCTGTCCTCAGGTACCACCTGCACACCTGACCCTCAACACCTGTCCTCAGGTACTACCTAACCCTCAACACCTGTCCTCAGGTACCACCTGCTCTCCTGAAATACACCTGTGGCTATCTGAATACACCTGTAAGCACCTGGGCTACACCTGTAAGTACTGACTCCAACCACTACAACAATTCCAACTGTAACTCCAGCCCTGCTCCTTCCCTACTCCAACCACAGCTCCAGGCCACCTGCATCCCAAATCCATCCCAACTGAACCCCAAATCCATCCCAACTGAACCCCAAACCCATCCCAAACCCATCCCAACTGAACCCCAAACCCATCCTAGCTCCAACCCCATTTCCCTCCCAATCCAGCCCCGTGCCCCCCTTGGCATCCCAACTTTGGCACATTTTGGGGTTCCCCTTGCCCCCAGCATCCCTGCCCATTCTGGGGCCCACAGAGATTCTGGGGACCCCTGGAGATTTTGGGGTCCCCTTCTGCTGCAGGCCCCGGTGCTGAGGTGCTGCCTGACCTGCAACCTCCAGCTCATTTTGGGGCTCCCCACTCCCTGCACAGCCCCTGCCTTCCCCAGGATGTTTTGGGGTCCCCCGTCTGTTTTGGGGTCCCCGGTACCTCATGCTGTAGGCGCCGGCGCCGAGCTCCTGCCCGATCCCCGACAGGCTGGCGTCGAAATCCTGCACCAGCCCCGACTCGATCACCTCATCGGCCAGTGGCAGCTTCAGCGCCCACGCCATGGCCCCGAGGGCACCCCAAAACCAGCCGTGGGTCACCCCAAAAACCGGGGGTCTTTCAGGGTCCCCCCTAAGAAAAGGGGGTTGTCGTGCTCACTCCGAAAATGGGGGGGCTGGGGGCTACTCCAAATGGGGGTGTCTTGGGGAGACGCCGAAAGCGGGGGGCTGGGACACTCCCAAACACGGGGGTCCTTGAGGCCACCCCAAAAAGGGGTTTGCAGGGGTATCCCCCAAAACCAGGGGGCTTCGGGGGCACCTCAAGCGTGAGGGGGCCTTGGGGTCACCCCAACACAGGGTCTTCAGTATCACCCCAAAAATGGGGTTCCTCAGAGTCACCCCCAATCCGGGGGCTCCTCAGGGGCACCCCAACACCTCCCCGTTTCCTGGGGGTACCAAAGCCCCCCCAGACCTCTTGCGGACCCTCTCCTGTGGTGACGAATTTGGGGACACCCAAAACCCACTACCACAGGGGAACGAACCCCAAAACCCTGTGACACCCCGAGGCTGCACGCCTGCCCTTGGGGCACCTCAAAGGGAACAGCTCGGGGTGGCCCCAAAACCCGAGAGGCGGCACCTCCGGGGGCCCCTGCTGCACCCACAGGGACCCCCAAAATCCTCCCCTTCCCTCTGGGGGCTGCACCCACAGGGACCCCCAAAATCCTCCCCTCCCCTCTGGGGGCTGCACCCACAGGGACCCCCAAAATCCTCCCCTTCCCTCTGGGGGCTG